CCCCCCCCCCGGGCACCACCGAAAAATGGCCTGGCTGGTCCACCTCGTCCGCCGCCTCCTCTCCACGGTGTGCCACCTGCTGCGCCCGCCGCCGTTCCGCCGCCGCCCGCCCAAGCACATCGCGCCGCCCCTCATCCCGCTACCCGCTGCTGCCCCGTCCTCGCCCGCCAAGCCGCACCCGCCCGGCCGGCGCCTCCTCTCGCTCCCGGAGGACATCCTGGTCAACATCATCTCGCGCGTCACCCATACGCCGCACCACACCCCCGTCGCGGCCCCGCTGCACGTCGTGGACCACCGCTCGTACCGCGATGCCCTCCCGGTCTCGGAGACGTGCCGCGCCCTCTCCGCCGTCTTCTACAAGTCGCTGGACAAGCTCTGCCTCTCCTCGCCCTCGGTCTGCGACGACACCCTCCCCCGCGTCCACGCCCGCGCACACCTCGTCCTCACCGCCATCGGCCTGCGCACGTGCAAGAACCTCACCGCCGCCCCCCTGGCCGCCTTCTTCGCCGACCTCCCCGTCCTGCGCAGCGTCGACTTGTCCTTCGTCCCCGCCGTCGAGGACGACGTCGTCATCGCCCTCGTCGCCGCCACGGCCCCGCGCCTCAACAAACTGCTGCTGCGCAAGTGCTCCCTGCTCACAGATCGCGCCCTGGAGCACATCGCCCGCTGCCACGCCTTGCACACGCTCGACTTGACCTACTGCCGCCTAGTCACTGACGCCGGCGTCGCCCGCGTCGCCGAGGGATGCGGACGCAGCCTGCGCCTGCTCGCCCTGGCCCACGTGGACAACCTCACGGACCAGAGCCTGCTCGACATCGCAAAGCACTGCGGTTCGCTCACGCAGCTCTGCCTACGCGGCCTGGCCCACATCTCCAACGACGGCGTGGCCCACCTGTGCAAGGGCATCGGGTGCCATGTTCAGGGTATTGACGTCACGGACTGCGACTGCGTTACAAAAGAGGCCACGATTATGACGCTCAAGATGTACTGTCCGAATATTTTTGCGCGCATTGTGCCGTCGTACTTTGACAAGACGCTCGAGCAGGTACTCGTGAGTACTCTTAGACACAACATCTTCATCGTCCATGGGAGCGACCCTATGACATCGAGGTCGACCGTGCATACCGTGCTCATTGATAATGGGGACATTGTCTCGGCGTCGCTGCTCAACTCGGGGACCACGGATTTATCGTTGCTGGGCATCGTTCTATGCAAGTCGTATGGCAGTTCTTTGGATGAGGACGCCAAGGAAATGCTGGAGGAGGATTACGGTATCCCGACTATTTCGATGGGGACGTGAGGGCGGTACGGGTGTGGTGCTCATCTCCTTATGTTGAAGGGAACATATGCAGGAGGATGTGTGAATAAGCGAAAAGATGTTTGTACGTGTTGGAGTGGATGAGCATGGGTAATACGTGGGTGGTTGCACAAAAAACTTGTACCGTACATCTTTAAGGATAGAAAGCGAGGTGATTCGGCAGTTGTAAATAGAGACGAAAGGGAATCTTGCGCATGTTACATTTGCAACTGGGTCCATACTGATACAGTACCAAGGGTGAGGTACATACACTACACATCTAGATCCGCACGGTTCCTTCTTTTTCACAATCACACAAACTGTTTAGGCACTTGTGGTACCAGCATCCAAGCTCGTGGTGCTATCAAGTGCCTGAAAAGTATTGTGCCGGCTTGAATTCGGGTGCATCATGCTAACAGGCGGACGACGAGGACGTAGCGGGCTGTATACTTGTACTGGGCACCAGATCACGGTGTGGATTGTTGCTGTTCACAGCAACAATCTGTTGGGGATGGCGTGCGAGACCTCACATGAGGTCTCGCGCCATCCCCTACGGACAGATCACAAGTGGCTCGCGCGTTGGACTATCGTTGTATTGGGGTGGAATGCGTGTACAGCGAAGCGGTGCTCTACTGTGTATGTGTGTGTTTCGGGTTCTCCCTGGTTGTAAATAAAGTTTTTTATCTGTGTGTTTGGGCCCATTTCGGGAAACAAAAAAGTCAATCGTCGAATATTACACGTCATGCACACGAGTGCTTCTTGCTGGCAAACACCGATAGGCTACTACCGTAGGAGGCATTGTTCCTCTCTTTCCAGAAACCAGGGACCAGGTCCTGGGATCTGGTCCCTGGCTGCCTGGGATCTGGTCCCTGGCTGCCTGGGACCAGGCTGTGCATGCCGCCCGCAGAGCATAGTTCTGCTGTGCAGCACAACAGAACAATGCCAAAAGGGGTGCGTGTGTCAAGATCATGTAGGGCAGCCCTTTTTACGGTTAAAACGGCAACAATCACCATTCCTTTTGCAAAAAGCTCAAACAAGGCGTATGTCTCCACAGCAATACTGTGCGAGATTGAACGTGAAGGAGATCCTTGAATATTTCGGCACGCTCACGCTCCACTTTGGTTTCATAAAACCACTTGGCCCTCCCGCAACTAGCAAAAGCTCTTTGGCTTCACCGTGTGAAAGCCAATGTGTGTTGAGATTCATCTCTTTTAAAAAAATATATACAGTATATATATATATATATATACAGTACAGCTGGTATGTTAGAAATATATCAAAGTGGATTGGCAAGAACGCCAAGACGTTTGCTTTACCACGACAAAAACAAGCAAGCCACCCAGAGTGCCGCCGTTAACGTGGAAGCACTGTACACCATCACTGAGGTCTCGACATGACAAAATCGCTCGGTCTCAGATTTGCCTCCACCTGCACGACGGCGCTCCTCTGACTCTGCGTAGTCTGCGAAACATCATCCGGTGTTGCTGGCTGCGCGGAGACGGAGCTGTTCTGATCGAGCACGGCCTCTTGCGGCACGGGCTCCGGGTAATTTCCGGCGACGGCCGCCGCGGTAGGATCCGAGTACCGTTCGATAGCATACGGCCTGTTCCTGCGCTGCTCGCCCTCGTCCGTGACGCGCGGTCCAGCGGCCGGCTCAGCAAGCCCCTCCGTGCCCGGCCTCCGTTTCGGGGCCGCCGCCGCCGCCGCCCCGTCCGCGCTAGTCGGCCGTTTCGACGACTGCTTCCCGAACCGCCGCGTGAGCTTGGGCTTCGCCGCGGGCTCGTTGTACCTGTCCTCTTGCCGCATGTACACCTGCTCCGGCGTCTGCTCCTCCTCGAGGAACTTGCGCTTCCTCCTCCTGCGCCGCATGCAACACGTAATGCAGCCGCAGCATCCCAGCAGCCCGAACACGATGGCGAGCGCCACAAGCAGCCACACCCACCACGGGAACAGCGGCAGCGAGCACGAGTCGTCGTCCCCACCCACGCCATCCACGCCCCCGATCGTGCCGCACTTCTTGAACCGGATCAGCGGCTCGTCCATCTGCCCGGCCTTGTAGCCTGAAAACTCCACGCAAGGCGTGTCGCCATCGCCGCCCTTCGTAATCTGCAGCATGCCATACTGATAATTCGGAAACAAGCGATAGGCGTTGCAACCCTCCGAATACGGCCCGCCCTTCGACGTGCCGATGTTTGCGATGGGCGCGGCCTGAAAGACTGGGAAGCCGCCCGCGCGGTCGTCCTCCGGGTCGGAGTAGTCCGAATGCGAGCCGTCATCCGCGGCGAGCATGTGGGCATCGCCCGCGACGGCGACGAGGTTGGTGACGCCAAGCTCGACGATCTTGTCGGCGACGAGCCTGCGCTCCTCCGCATAGCCGCCCCACGAGTCGGCGCGGTCCTTCGCCTTGGCGATCCAGGGCTTGGAGGACATCCAGACGACGACGTCGAAATCGGTGGCGCGGGCGAGCTCGGCGAAGAACCATTCGCGCTGCGTGGGCCCGAGGGTGGAGCCGGGGAGGCGGCGGGCCTGGGCGCGGAGGTCGGTGATGAGGAAGCGGACGTTGGCGACGGTGAAGGCGTAGTACGAGGCGTGGACGGAGGGGAGGACGTAGGTGGGGACGACGGCGCGGAAGTTGGCAAGGGCGGCTTCGCGCGACGGGCTAGAGAAGCCGGCGTTGTTGGGGCCGTAGTCGTGGTCGTCGTACATGTAGGCGACGGGGATGGCCGAGAAGACGCGCTGGACGCGGTCGCGCTGCAGGACGTCGCGGAAGGCGCGGACGTAGCGCGAGGGGTCGTTGTCGGCGATGTCGGGGTAGGCAATGTCGCCCATGTGCAGGAAGAGGAAGGGGTCGGGGTCGGGGTCGGCCTCGGCGGCGTCGAAGCGGGCGCGGATCTCCGGGAAGACGCGGTCCCACGAGGCGCGGTACTGGCACGAGGCCAGGACGACGGTGAGGTTGCGCGACGGGTCGGCCGGGAAGGTGCGGACGGAGGCGGCGGGGATCGGGGCGGCGTCGTCGTCGTCGTCGTCGTCGGGGTGGCGCACGAAGACGTAGTACTTGGTGGACGGGGTGAGGGCGGTGAAGTCGAAGCGGCGGAGGGAGGTGTAGATTAGGAGGTCGGGAGGCAGGGCGGCTGGGTCGGTGGGCGAGCGGGACTGGACGGTGGTTGTTAGGTTCGGCGAGAGGGATAGGTCGACCGAGGTGGTGCCCGGGTCCAGGTTTATGTGG